GGTGTGGCAGAGGGTAAACTGTTGGACTGAAGCAATCGGGGATGGGGTGGAGCGATGAGAAGAACCTGACAGTCCAGGGCTGGGGGAACGAGGCTGCCACGGCATCAGCATTCGCTGAGGTTACCAGCCAAGGCAGGGGCCAGGTAGGGGCCGGCAGGGAGGGCCGGCCAGGCTCACCCAGGAACTCAGGAGGCAGGCAGGCTGCGCTCTGCCCTGAGACAGGTGTGATGCGTCTCAACATGCATCTTGCCTTGAAGTAAGATATGAGGACCAAGGGTGGTACAAACGACCCCCCAGGGCCCCTGCTACCCACAGGGATGCTGACTCGGGGCTAACGCTTCTAGAGGAAATTACCTATGGAGGAAATGATTAATCAAAAAAAATTACAGCCTTCCAATAAGATTCAAGAGAACCCTCAGCCAATAGTTGTTGCAGAGATAATTGTTCTGAATCTATCAATAAAGCAAAGCTGCCCCTTCATTGACTGCAAACACCAATTTCTTTCACCCAGGATTATAAGTTGGTGTTCACGGGCTCACTACTGCCATTACGGTGATAAACAGTTTAAACCACAACAGGATCTGACATGTAGATCAATTCTGGGTCCATAAAGAATCTACACAAGAGGTTGCAGGACAGGAATTTACAGCCACCAGTTTTTATTCTCTCTTGCTGCAAAAATTACTTCTGTCAAACACTTAGAAGAGTGAGAAAAAATGTAAAAAAATTAATTTTTCATGTACTCCTAGAACAGCCTTTTTCAATGCAGAGGCTCAAGATGAATATGTTTCTGCATTTAAAAAATTACGCTCAGCAGCATGTGGTGCTCAGCAGAGGAGGCATCTAATCCTCTGTGCTGCCCGCAAGCCGGCAGACGGCAATTTGAAGCCCTCAACCGAGCTGTCTGCATTTTCTCTAAGGGCAGATGCGGGTCTCATGTTAGCAATGCCAAATTATATTAGACATTTAATTTTAAACCTCAGGTACTTAAATGTGAAACCTTACAACAGTAATAGTCATAAAGCAGTGGGCATTCCATTTCATGGAATAGATTCCTCTTTTCTTCTTCCCTTAATTTAAGCAGCACCTCCTGTTTTGTAGGTTGCCCCTACAAAGGAATCTATCTAATTAGGAGTTGCTCACAGCTGCTTTAAAGGCAGAAACCCCGGAGGGACCTGTGTGTCTAGAGAGGAGACTTTGAAAAGTTCTCCAGAGCCAAAGTCTTAATTTAGGGTGGACAGGGGGGCAGAGTAACACCGAATGCCAATGTTGTCATGATTATCATGTTTTAGAATAAGCGTGCGCGACAATGGGAAGGCATACTTGCTAACACGGGCATCTGTATTCCAAAGCTGCCTGGCCTCTCCCTATTCATTCCTGCTGCTAGCACACAGTAAGCTGTTCATGACTCTGAAATCCAAACCAAAGACTAGGGATGGGGGCAGATACATTTATAGAGGAAGTGGATGGGAGCAGGGGACCTACATCACCTACAACTTAAGAAGAAAAAGCATGACAGAAAGCTCTCCATCATGTTTGTTTCTTCTGTGGTTATTATCCAAGCCCTGCAGGGAACGTTTATGCCAAGGCTGAGGTCCTGAAATCCATTCATAAACAGGATTTCTTGAAGTTGTCCATCAGATCCTGTGCCCTGGTGTTCACTAAAGATTGCTGGGGTCTGGTTACTTGGTGGATCAGCACACTAAAGCGAGGAATGGCGCAAACCAGAGGGAAGCCGGGATGTGCCCTCGGCACAGAGACAAGGATGTGTCCAGCAGGTCTGGTTAGAGCCTGAATTCTGCATCACCAGCCAAATCCCCGGAGCGGTCAGATGCCACTTGGTCCGTGGATCATGCTTTGGGAAGTGAGGACTTAGAGCAATCGTTCCCAACCTTCAGCATGTCACATGATCCCAGTGGGCTTGCTATGCACAGGTGGCCGGCTCCTATCCTCTGAGGACTGGATTCCGTGGGACTGAGACGGGGCCTGAGAATGGACATTTCTAAGCAGTTTTCAGGGGCTGCTGCTGCTCCCAGAGGCACACCTGGACACGCAATGATGAAGAGCTGAATCAGGCCACCTGAGTTTGAATACTGGCCCCTCCCAGGATGTGACTTGGAGCAAGTGATACTTAACTCTTCTGTACCAAAGGCCCCGCCTGTAGAAGGGAGGTAACAACAAGATCTACTCCGTGAGGACCAAATGAGATTATCTACATAAAACCCTCAATAAATCATCGCTTTTATTATTACTGTTATCATCTTCCTTTTCAAAATACTTTGGGTATGACATATTATTTATCTTTAGAAAATACAGGAATCAACCAAGACCCCCATAAAACTGTAGGAATCAGACTTCTGTGCACTGTTCCGTGGTCTTTCTGGATCTTTGCTCTGGAAAATGTCAGCTTCAAGTCTGAAAATAAGATGCTCCCGTGGCAGCGCTGGCCTCTCAACATTCATCTCTTCTTGCCTCTCCTCGTGTTCCTGCACCCCAACTATCACCTTTCACTTCACTGCAGCTCGTGGCTATTCCATCTTCCCTTTTCCTCCTCTCTGGGTCTTTGTCCAAAGTGCCCCAATGCTTATAATAACTTCCTCCTGCTGTTTTGCACAAAAAAATCCATCTGGTTCTTTAAGCATTGCTCAAGTTTGATTTTCTTTGGGAAGCTTTCCTTGATCAAGTCTATCAATCCTTAAATGACCTGCACAATTTCAGCCCTGGGCTCTCCCTACAGCTCTCCTTCCATGTCCCTCAGCAGGCTGACACCTGGGGCATCCGCCTGTATTTCTTATCTTCTGTGTTCAGCGTTCAAGATTTGTGAGGTCAGAGAGCATACTGGTCTTTAATGGACACCCATGTGTGTTAATATTACAGAAACTGCTTTGTGAATGAAAAACTGGCATTCAAACGTAGGAGACTTTAGTCTCACATGGATACTGTACAAATGTGTGTGTGCAGATAAGGCAGCCCACTTCTGTGGAAAGAGACTTCCAACCAAACCAAGACTCTGGAAATCAGTGTTCCATGATGTGGCGGTGTGGAAACGCCCACTGTACATATGGACAGCTTAACACAAAGAGCTTTTCAGTAGAGAGAAAGTTACCTAGTGTGTATTTATCAAACAGGTAAGCGTGCAAAAGTCTGCAAAGGAAGAATTTTAGATGAATACTTAATTAAAGGCCTGTATTATTGGCACCTCCAGTGGTCTCACTCAGCAGAGGCTGCTTGGCAAGACAAGGCCTTGTCTGTGTCACCTGTACACCTGGCTTGGGAAGGCCCAGCGTGGATCTTCCCACGCCCTCAAATATGGTCCTACACAAGCACACCTTCACGAGACGGCGGCCACAGAATTCAACCTTATCAAATAGTAATGCTGATTGATAATGCATATTTTAAAGTATTTGGTAATGAAACAAACATGTGAACTCCTTGCTCCTCCTAAAGGAACTGTGAGAACAGTGGCTCTTCAGTCACAAAGAGCCAGGTGTCCTATGTTGTGACACATGCCTAACTACTATGTAAGGGAGGGGAAAACGTGTCCATTGAACAGATAAGAAAACCGAGGCTCATGGAGGCACGGACGCTCATTGAGGTATGGAGGCTCATGGAGGCAGGGAAGCTCATGGAGGTACCGGGGCTCGTGGAGGCACGGAGGCTCAGGGAGGCACGGAGGCTCAGGGAAGCACAGAGGCTCGCTCAAGGCTGCCTAGCTGGCAGGTGGAGGGGCTTCTGCTGCAGCGCACACAGGTCTGATGAAAGGCTGACTACCAGGCCCGCTGGGGCACGCGATGGTCATGAAAGGAGCAAACTATAGGTGGTTAATTTGTCATAACTTAAAACCTCCTTCTTTGGGGTTTTCAGGGTTATCACTGTGATTCCAGATAACAGGCAGACAGCCTTGGAGAGCCCCTGAGGAGGCTGCAGGCAGACCTCTGCTTTCTACCAACGCGCCTTCTTTTGCGGGACGAAGGAGCCCCGGTGCTGGGAGGGAACGGGCCAGCTGGGGCAGCCGCGTGACGTTCTGTGTGTTTGCTCCAAGTCACAGGCTTTTCCAGACCCTCACAGCTACTGTGCGGAGCAGCCTCGCTGACCCCGCGTCTCCCGGCTCGGTTTGGAGATGTCTTCCTTTAAGGCTTCTGCTTGGTGGCATCTGCGGAGGAAGATGGAGCCACTAGAAATAAGGATGACGTTTACCCAGAGTAAACGTCCTGCCGCAGCAGCTGGAGGGTCTACAGGGAAGACCTGATGCTGAATCTTTTAATTAGAACAAATTATGCTAAGATTACTCGAAAACCCTGTCTGACAGAATACATACAGCAGTGGGAATTCCTTTAAATACCGGTGAACAGGCCAGAGACAAACGCCACAGGCAAACCCTGCTGCAGCCGCCAGGGCAGCCCCGGTGCTGCGTCATGCACGCTTCACGCAGACGGCAAGATCGTTTCCACTGTGCACCACGTACCCCAAAAAGCTGGCTACAGCTGTCAAAATAGTAATAATGCGAAGGAATCTGAACACAGAGGGATTACAAAGGGGACTCCAGAACTGAGAGTACACACCGGCAATTCTGGAAGACTGAATTCACCCTAATGATATAAAACGTGTACTCGTGGTGGAGGTGCAGGCCACGCCGCGCAGGGCAGTGTGACTGGGGAGACAAAATCAGATATTCTTTCTCAGCTCTGCCACCTCTGTCACGTGACCCTGCGTAAGCCACTGGCCCTGTCTGCAGCCTCAGTTTCCAAATGGATCAAATGGGATGGCCACCTCCTCCCTGTGCCAGAGGAACAGATGAGATGACATGGGCAAGACAGCCTAGCCAAGGACAAAACATTCCACAGATATGAAAGGCAAGATGTGAGTCTCCGTTGCAGCTGCCCCGCGGGGTGCCACACTCCCAGAGGAGCACGAGAGCTTAGGGCGTCCTGTCCGGGCCCTGGCTTACAACGAAGGATCTTGAGGTGGCTGCGGGTCCGTGGGGCTGCGCCCCCTCTTACCACTGCTGATGGCCGAGTTTGCAATGACTGTAGCCTCACTCCACTGGTCGGCACTGGAGACTGAGTAGGAACGCTGGTGCATGCCGTCGGGTCGGCTGTTGAAGGAGACCAGGCTGATGCCGCTTGCCATCTGAGACCCAGATGCACTAGTGACATTCCCTAGGAATAAACAAGTCAGGTGAACACCACCGCGGACTGCAGACCACAGAAGCCAGAAGCCAGCGTGAGGCAGTCTGTGGGCCCCACACACTGGCGCGCAGTGTGCCTTACCACCGACAGCAGCCCTCGCCCTGCCTGCATGGTCAAGAGAAGCACCAGACAGAAATACTAGGGAGGAGTAAAAGGGGGACGCCAATCTCCATGGTGCCTGACAAAGCAACGCGAGGGGACCCGATGCCACAGATGACTCGCACAAGACAGCCCTATACAAAGACGGAACCCAACCGCAATCACAACATCCAGTGGAAGTGAAGACAAAAGACCCAGTCCCTCTCAGCAGAGGCACCACAGTCCAGCAAGCCGGCTGACCCGGGCTCCAGGAGCCCGACCGTGTCACCCTATCAATGGAACAGAAAATGATCACCCATTGAGAGTGATCATTGTCTGGTGCCAGAGAATTGTTTTCATGGGGAAGCCATACTTTATGATCAACACAAATCAAAGTCCCTAGACACGACACGGAGGAAACGCAGAGTCTTCGACCAGATTAAGTTTACTCTTAACCTTGAAAAGACTAAGCGGAGGAAAAATAACCTACGCAACTTCACAGCGCACATGGCTGTGATGAAAAATGATTCCATTGTATACTTAATGATTTGAATCAGTTGCTCAACATCAAAATGAATTATTATCTGGTCATACCAATTTCAGACTCAAAAACATAATTAAGTGCCTTTCTCCAAAGCTCAGCTGAACACACCTTGCTGCCAGTGAATTAGTCTGTTGGTCTATTTGCAGATATTCAGAGGTATTAGGGTATTTTTTTTTAATGTTTCTTTCAATTGTTTTAGTTCAGAACCAACGAAGTTCTAAACTGTCTCAGTAGAAGTTTTTCGCAGCGCAGGATTTTATAATAAATATGCAGTTCATATTAGCAGTTCTTAAATCTGGCCAATTACTAGAATTTCCTGTGGAGCTTTTTTAAAAATAGAGGCTTCAAAAAATACAGATTTTGATTCAGGAGCTCTGGGGATGGGGCTTGGGAAAAGATGCATCTTCAAAAGCACTCCGGTGATTTGGATGAGAAGCCAGAGGCAGGAACCAGGGCTCCCTCAAACAGGTGGCCTCACTGTAATCTCGTGCAACACGGGGAAGCCACAGAATCATGAGCTGAAGAGCAGCGTCCGAGCCTACACCAAGTCAGCGATCAACAACGAGGCGTTTGAAGAACAGAGTTCTGCCTTAAGAAAATAGATACCTGCATTATGCTGTTGTCTGAACTGAGTACATTTTGAATGTCATAGGAGAAATTATTCATAGGCAGGTATACTTGATTCCAGAAACAGGTCCAAAGCAATGCCCCAGGGAGGGAAGGATGCGAAAGCCACGGTCTTCGAACCTACAGTAGTAGCAGCATCGCCAAGGGGCACGTGAGAAATGCAGAATCCCAGGCCCCACCCGCCAGCTGCCTCTTAGTAAGATCCGGATCGATCTGTGTGCACATTAATTAAAAAAACACTCCAGCCGGAAAATCTCCACCATGAAACAAAAAAATCACAACCAAAACGCCACCACGGCAGACCACGGGGATCCAGGGACTCACGTGGGAGGGGCACAGGACGGTGCCTGGGAAGCCTCGGGTCTGGGCTGCCCAGCTTCCATGCAGGATCCTGAGGCAGTTTCTCATGCCCCCAAGCCCTGATGTTCTGAGAGCTCAATCTCGGGGCTTGGGTGTGCCCCGATGCCCTAGAAACGCACGGTGTCACGTGGAGTCCCCCGATCTTGAATGACAGTGCCATGTGGTGTTCCCACGCTTGCTCTTGCACCAGGCCTCACAGCAGCCTGAGGAGGTGGGCTAGGTGTATGGCATCTTAGACACATGGAGGAGCAGCCCAGGGCCGGCGAGGTGGCACAGAGGGGAGCACTCACGCTCCTCTCTGTATTCTCCATGTGCCACCACTGAAGCCACCCTGTGGCTGTCCTCTGGGTATTGTGTGCATTAGCCAGATCCCTATTACGATAGGGCATTCAGACCCCACAGAAAGCAGCAACCCCGTGGGGCAGAGGAGACACTCCCATCTGCGGGATCCCCTCCTGCAGCCCGTGCTCACCATGTTCCTGCCACACCCTTCTCTGCCCTGCTCTCCTCCTGGGAAGGCACCCGTATGGGCTGCACCTGTGGGCTCCAGGACCTTCTAGATTCTCACTGGGCCCAACCAATGGTGAGCATGGCAGGAATCTAAAAGAGAGGGGAGGGTGAGGGCGGGTGCTGACTCCAGGGCCCCTTCTCTGAGCAGTCATCTCGCTTGGTGGCCCCCTCTCTCCTTGGCCCTTGGTGCCTGTGGGTTGTGCTGGTGCATTTCTGCCAGCCCTGGTGCCTGCACTGTCCTCTTGCCTCTCTTCCCCTTCTCTACCTCAATCCCACACAGCCACCAAATGAAGGTGCATTTGGGTAAGAGGCATCTCCCGAGAGTGGCTGTCGGGGCTGCCTTCGCCTGGTTCTGGTTTCATTACATGAATTCTGAGCAGACAAAAGGCTTCCAGATACTGCCGACATTGTTACGGTGGGCGAAAGGACTCCGGAAAGGTGGAAAAGGAGCAGTGGAAAATAACAATGACAAGATGCCTGCAAGCAGGTGGGGGACACCTCCCTGGCCAGGACCCTGACTGCTGTGCCAGGCACCTTTGGGCCTGCCCTACCTGCAGGGACACCTGCCATGTGGGTAAGGTGTCAAGGAGGTGATTCCTTCCCCACTGAAACACCCAATCAGACTTCTGAGAAGTCATTATTAAGTGTACAATCTGTCCACAGACCTCATTTTATACCAGCTTTGGGCACACAAGGTCCAAACACCTGAAAAACAGAAAGTAATTTCACTCTGTCTGTCCCTCCATCTTTGTGCTGATGATGACAAAATGGCGCTCAGCAAGCACCGCTTCTCTTGCTCCTTCTCCCTGAAGAGCGGTTCTCTGATGACAGCCAGCCTAGACACATTCCAGAACAATTTCCTTTAAAAGTCAGAGGAAAGTACTTCAGTGCATCTGTCACTGACTCCTTGAAATTAAGCTTCAGAAATAAGTATCAATACACATGTAAGGACAGCCAAGTCAATCTCAACTCCAGACAAGGGACCACGAAATGTTCCAATGGAGGGGGCTGATCAAGAACTCACCTTAGGTTTACAAGTCCTTCATCTCAAAGCCAAACATCACACTGCCAAAAAAGGAAAGGAGAGATTCCTTCAGGTCTACACACTAGTGAGAAGCAACAGGGACCTGCAGCTCATGCACTGGCTTTCAAACTACCAGCTGTTTCTCCAGCAAAATTCAAGGACGAGTCCAATCCATGAGATGCTGGTGGATCAGCTCTGGGGGTGAGGCTCAGAGCCCACCTTCTGTCTCCCGAGAGAGTACCCAAGGAACCGACCTGGAACTTGTGGAGTGAAGAACCTCCTGGCAAGACCGCATGTTCCTGGTCTCCAGATGGAAGACACTAGACCAGCTATGCACAATCCTTCTGAGGGCAGACTCTCAGAGCGCTATAGCTCGTGAAGGTCCCCCAGCCCCAACCACATCCGCTTCCCAACTGCAGGACTAAACTGAAACAGCATGACTGAATCTGGGCCACATCAAGGTGTATCCATGGACACAGAGCAATAAAGGTGAAACTTTCAATCAGGTCCACGGACTATAGCCTGAAGTCCGGGCTGATGTCACAGGTAAGTTTTTACTTAGTTGACGGCACTTTTTTTCAAGGTAGAATTAAATTGGGAGATTTCATTTTAAAACTGGTGGGTTCTGGGGTCACTTAGAAAATGAGAGTGTCTGGGAGCTGTGGGCCTGTGTTCGTGAACAAGAAGCTGACAGTCTCTTCCTCTCTGGATCTGTCTGTAGAAGCTGAGTGGGTTCTGCTGTTGCCCAGGCTCACACCTACCTCCCCACAACCCCACCAGCCCAGTGTACTCAACTCACCTCTACTCCTGAACTTTGGTTAGTTCGAGTCATAAAACCTTCCAAAAATATGCAGAGAAGGAGTCTCATTCCAGAAGCGAAACATTTCCGATTTTCTCTTAAAGGAGTAAATATCTTTTAAAATATATATACCTATCAACTATATTTGATATCAGTTAAATTTGCTTTCAGAAAAAACAAGTAACTGTGACATAAAGAAACAAGAGTATTTTCTGTGATAATGCAGAAACATATTTGTTTAACTAAAAAAAAAAAAGTTACAGAGGGTCAGAAATATCGTTTCTGGGATCCAAACACAGTGCTTGCCTTTCAGCATAAACCCACATGAAGACACCTGCTTTAATGTTGAGGCAAACCAGTTATCCACGGCCTGAGCCACAACACTGTGGAAGCTGCCATGCTGGCTTAACAGGCCCGTGGAGCATCTCGTGCCACGTGTGAGCAGTCCCGGGCCACTGGCCACACTTTGAGGCATTTCCACTTACTTTTAGTAAATCCATCAGTCAAAGAAATGAACCACCCCCAAATGTGGAGTGAATATTTTTAATAACCATGCACAGTCCAAATCTAATTATAGTAGGTCATACTTTCTCATGCTTATTTTTATATACATACACATGCGGAGTCTAATACGTAATCTCACTTCTGTTCCTGAATGAATGCCATTAACTCGCTGACTTACTAATGCAGTCCCGGCATCTACTTTTGTTATGTGATCGTCAAGCAATACCTGTTACCAGACAGGAGTTATGAACACTTTCAGAAATACCTTTAAGCATAAAAGGTTTAAAATCTGTTTAAAATCACTGTATTCTCTCTCAAAATACTCGAGGGCTACTTTTTTCACTGACTGGCAATTCATTTCATGTTAACGAGTTATAAATTAAGGCTGAAGTTCTGAAGTCCTCATGGGTGAAAGAAGCTGATGACTTTGATTGCCTGAGAGGTGAGGATCCTGACATCAAGACCAGTCAGGATACAGGGATGCCAAACACTGTTCTACACACAGTCAAGGTCAGCCCGAAGCA